CACCTCTGGAAAAGTGCAACTTAGACCATGGGACATCCTTATCACAGAAGACTTCAGACTGGAGGAATGAAAAACATTTCTGGAGTGTCTGGGCATCTGTATCAGTGCATTTCCGAGTGTACATTCAACTCACTTACTTGCAGGAGGAAGAGGTGGCCAACATACATAGCAGTGGCTAAGGTGAGCAGTTTCCCAGGGAGTGTACAACATGCAGTTCTGCTTCTGAGATCTCATCCTGCCCCACCACCAGAGGTTTGCTTGAGGAAAGGCTCCCCAGTGCCAAGCTGGGGGTCCCTGGGAGACCATTTTAAATAGCTCACCCCTGGTTTTGTTTCCATCCATGGCAAGGTTTTGTTTAAACCTAAATTTCTGCCTTTAGCTCAGTGCAAACTCTTCCTATTGCAAGGGGAAAGATAATGGCCACAGTTGACATTAGCTGTCATCTGAAGCCCTGGACATCACTGACAGCAAGAGGCCTGGGCTCTGGGGGTCTTTGGACCTGTGTCAACTCAGAATCAGTACGAAGCCTGTGGAAGGCAAGGCTGCTACCTCTGGGGCTGCTCAGCTCGGCATCTGAAATCCTGCAGCCACAATGGGACATCTGCTTGCTCCCATCAACCCCAGGAAGCTTCCAGGCTTCCCCAGTGGTCAAAATGAGGATTAAAGGGCCAAGTTCTACCTGCTCACCTAACAGCTGAAACATTAGCTGCCAACATTGTCCCCACTCTTTCTGCACACACGAGTAAAAGACCCACAAACTGAATGTTAGCTGTCATGGGAAATAACTTATATAGTAATAAATAAATATAGCCTTTCTGGTTTAGCAGGAGTATACTAGACTCTTCTTCTAGACTGCTCAGCCACTCTGAATAGAAAATGCATTGAGAGTCAGTTTTGCAACTTGCTTCTTGAAGTCCACGATTTCACCTCTGTTCAGCACAGTACTTTACCATCCTAGCTAATGTTTTAAATACGTGGAAAGAAAAGTGTTATTTTGATTTTAAAAACGTATGAGTGGCAAATGATACTGATATATCCTGAGAGACTACCAAACCCTCCCACACAGTCTACTTGCTGTGCCAGGGAGTTTTAGATTTGTTCCTTATTTAATCCACCTCAGGAGGAATGTAATTTTTTTCCATGTGTCAGATGAAGGAGGCTACATCTTTCTGATTCAAAACCATGAGCTCTTTCCCACATAGAAACTGGCCAATGGAATGATGGTATCTAACTTTCTTTCTAAGCCACACTGAGACCAACAGATAGTATCAGTTAGGTTTAGGGTTGGCTACATATAAAAGAAACCTGAATACAGTGGTCCTAGCAAAGGGAAGGTATCTTCACCCATAAGATGGATGATAAGCCTCTAGCTAGGCTAACTAAGGAAAAAAAAGAGAGAGGACACAAATTACCAATATCAGTAATTAAAGATGAGACATAGCTATAGATCCCATGGAAATTAAAAGGATAATAAATAACAACTCTATGTTCAACTCTATGCCCACAAATTTGAGAACCTAGATGATACGGACCAATTCCTTGAAAGACACATCTGCCAAAATTTACCCAAGAAGAAATGGATAATCTGAAGAGGCCTGTATCTATTCAAGAAATTGAATCAATAATTAATAACCTTCCAAACAGAAAGCATCCGGATCTGACCCTCCCTGCACCTGTTCTGCTATTCAGTCAGGCCCGGCCTTCTGATGTCGGCATGGGCAGCACTGCCTTTCCCTAGAGGGGTGACCTGCTGCATGAGCTGTCCAGGTCACACAGCACAGGAACATGAGCTGCATGCTGGGCTTGGGGTCACTCCATGGGGAGAGGAGGCGGGGAGAAAAGAAGAGGGTCTTAGGTGTCTGACAACAGAAAACCATTCAAGTCCACCTGGAACCTGGAGTCCTGAGGGCAGTGCTGGTGTTAGGGGGCACAGTGATGTCATCGGTGGGATCCACTGTAGAATAAAGGGACAGTTGACCAAACCTGCCTGACTGGAGCTGTGTGAGCTCTAGGTGGGGTCATGCTGGGGGGTGGGTCCACTGTCCTTATCCACTGAGACCCTAGGTCTTGTCTTTTCTCTTCTTTTCTTTTCCTTCCCCCCTTCCCCCCACCACTAGAAGGGAAGAAGTTCAGGGAGGGTCTGTTGTGCTGGGGCTGGCAGCTCGCACCTGTTGGGGTACAGCTAATTCCTTCAGCCATGGCTTTTGAGGATAATGTAATGCTACATTTCCAATTATTCTGGAGACAGTGTGAGTGATCCAGGGACTAGAAACAGATGTGTCCACCTGGGTTGAAGTTCTGGTCCAAGCTGGAAGCCCATGAGACAGCTGTGGTGGCTTAACACACTGGGAGGCCAAGCGGTTCCCGAAGGCTTGTGGGAGCTGTCAGGGAGAGGGTCTGTTTCAAACCTGGTGAGTGATCAGATTTTCTTAGAGGACCCCTGGAAGGAAAACCAAATAATTCCATGGGAAATTGAGGGAACATGAATTTATGGGAAAGAGAATCATCTAGAAACTTGCTGATGAATTCTATGCAAATGTGTCTCAATCCAATTTAACTCTTTTTAATAGTAAAAAGATGACAGCCATAATAGCAGTAGCACAAGTACCAACCCCAGTGAGCTGTCTGAACAAGGTCTCACAGCACACGAGGGTGGGTTTCGCCTGCGCCCAATCTTGAGCTCAGACTCCAGCAATATGCTACACACCATATTCCAAAAAGGATTTTGTGTGAGGTTGATGTGAAAACTGCCTTCCAAATTTAATAACAGTAGTATTAAACTGATGATGATTTAAAAACCAGGCTTAATTTAGTAGTACTAAATTTCTGCCTCCTCTTACCTATGGTAGATGTGATAGTCTCTGAACTTAAAGTTAAGACATACGGTATGAAATACCTTAGCGCTGTTTCCGAGTGCAAAGTGTACCATAGAAGATATAATAGAGACATACGATGCTAAAATCTAGGAGACATCCCTTGTACTTAGAGCAAAAATTGGAAGAGCGCTCAGTGGAAATGGCAAGTCCTCCACCCAGATGGTGGGTGTACCAACCTGACAGCCAGCAGCTGAGGGGCCATAGGTCTGTCTCAGGGGCTGGGCTGGACTCCAGACATCTGACAGGTCCCCCTAAGGGATTCAGAGATGGGGCTGTGGCCCTGGAACACTTATAAAGGAGAGGGGGAGAACAGAAGCTCTGGGGCTTAAGAATGAGCTAAGACCCTAGCCAGCCATTCAAACCGAGTTACATAGCTGGGGTAGAATTCACAGTGATGGCATAGCAGGAAACCAGGTTTGGTGGGGACACTTGGTCCTTCAGACCAACCCCTAGGGGACAGAGGGAGGCAGAGACAGTGGGGAGTTGTATACTTTGCCCTAGTGGCAGCCCCCTCTGTGTGTGCAAGATCTCACCTTTTTGTTTTCCACTTCTGGTGCAAATCAAAAGAGTGGGGATTTGATTGTGTGAAAAGATGAGTTTGTACTGATTTTCATTTTATAACATGACCCCTTTGCCTTGCCAGCCTCCTGCTCCTAACCCCCTAACTCCATCTCTCTCTCTATCTCTGTCTCTATCGTCTCTCTCTATCTCTGTCTCTACCTCTGTCTCTATCCCTATCTCTATCTCTAATCTATGGATATTTTTATTGGACCATGCGACTGTCATGGATTAAGCTCCTGTCTTTGACAGGCAGTACTTCTTGCTTCTGGAAAAGAAGAGTTCAGGGATTTGAAAGTGCTGGACTTTACAATACATTCACAGATGTTTTGGTTTAAATTTTCTACTTGTTCGGCCACTTCCCTTATGAGATTTTTATGACTACTTTTCTTTTTTGGAGTCAGCTGAGAAGCAAATAAATGGCAGATGCTTTCTCAGGAGATAAACACACCCACCTCAAGCTCAGAGCCTCCTGACACTGGGCCCGCTGGGCGTCCTCACCCTCGGGGACGTAGATTGAGAACGAAAGCAAGCGCCATGGAAATGGCAGAGAGACTTCAGCCAGGTCACAGAGTACACTGCAGGAATGGGCCCTTGGATGTGGTGGACATGTTATCTGTCCGAAAAGGGAACTGGGGAGCGAAGGCTGGGGAGGAAACTTGCTCACCCAAAGTCAAGCACTGAGTGTAGGCAGTTGAGCCATAAATTGGGTCTTCTGATCTCTCATCCAGGGATTTTTCTCCCACATTATCAGGTTTGTTTCCCAAGACCCAGGGTGGCTAGAGTGTGTAGAAGGAGCAGATACTGGTTTGCATGGCTTTAGGGGTGCTGAGAGAGCTGCTATGCTATGTCATTCACTTGTTCATTTTATCATCCAACAAAATGTCACCAAGTGCTTTCTGTGTGCTGGATACTGGGGATGGGCATGAAGGTGAATGGGGTGTAGGGTCATTCCCTAAGGAGGCTGCTATCATGAAGCAGGTAGAGATATAACCAGCCAATGAGAGCAGAGAGAGAGAGAGGTAGCCTGAGATAGATGTGGAAAAATCCTAATGTTTCATAGAGCAGGGGCAACTCATGCTTTGAAGGGCTTGGAGATGATTTTTGCAAAAGGTCTAGTGGTTTTCTGGGTGGGAGATCTAGGGAAGAGAAGACAGAGCCCGGATGAAAGTCCAGACATTTCCAGAGATGCTCTGTAGAGACAGGAAGTGGTTCACTGGGGCTGGAGTAATGTCAGGTCAGAGCTTGTTGGCAACGAGGCAGGAAATGTACATACATACATATTATGATGCTCAAAGATTGCAGTGAGATTTTTATTCCTTTGGCTTGAAGCTGTTTCCTGTATTAAAATGCATTAAAGATATAATATGTACATATCAACAATTTCTATCTCAGGGATAGTAAACCCATTGGATGCTATTTTGAGGCAAGATTTGGTAGGTTTTGGGTTAAGGCAGCTGGTTTCCTCCCAGAAGCAGACACAGACACAGAGCTAGGTGTGTAGAAGGTTTACTGAGAAGACCCTCAAGGAATGGAAACAGGAAGAAGAAGGACTAGGCAGGGAGAACCATCAGATAGCACTGGGGACCTCACAGTCTCTGCCAGCCCATCTCAGCAGCTTTTGAGCATGAGAAGGGCCAGGCCACGTGCCCCTGCTGGTCTCAGTCCTTGGCCAGTGGCTGCTAAGGGCAAGTGTGCTCATGGCTTGGATGCTCAGGGGAACTTGAAAGGACCAGTATGCGGGTTGCCAGGAAGCCCTGGTCTTGCAGCTGGGCCATGGCTCCCTCTCGAAGTCCCGTCTGAGTTGTTCATCTCTGTGGGTAGTTCATAGGGGTTGCGATAGGCTGAGGATGAAAGATTGCAGAAAAAAAGGAAGCAGACAGATGTTAGTCTGTGTACTGTTGTCTCTAGGTGTCGACATTGCCTCTGACATGATATCTGGGCTGAGTCTGCCCTGTCCCATTTCTTCGAGAGTCTGTTTCCAAGGCAAGTTCTCAGAGAGTCTGTGCTTCAGGAGCAAATTCCAGATATAGAACTGTGCAGTGGATGCACATGCCTAATACACACGGGCTCAACAAGGAACCCGAGAGAGGTGGCCCTGAGGAGGGCAGAGGCTGCATGACAGAAGTTAACCCACGGCCTCCTGAAACCCGGTGCCCCCAAAGCCATGGAGAGAACTGCACCCAGAGGGAAGGATGGAGAGACCAAGGGACAGTGCATTCTGCCAGAGCACCAGGTTGTGAACATGACCTTCCAGGCCCCAAAATGGGCAGCTTTGTTCATAAAAAGGGAGTTTTACATAAGCCTCATAATGTAAAAAAGCAGGAATAAAGTGGACATCGTTTAAAAGTTGAGACTGTTGGGATTCTCTTTGTCCAGAATGTCCTCCCACCAGTAAGAGGCTGGGGGCTCCCAAAGCCCACCTTCAGTGGCACCTGCTCTGGGAGCCTTTCCCCTCTTCCACTTGCCTGCAGTCCTGCCTCCTCCCCAGATCCCAAGCCCCTCTCAGCCAGACCTGGGACACTGGCTTTCCATCTGTAGGCTTCATGTCCAAGCCTTCCCAACCCTACTCGAGCAGATTTCCTCCTAGAACCTGGTCCAGAGGAGCCAATAGTTGTCAGTGAAATGAAATGACAAGTGGCAGGCCACAGGAGTTGACTCTCATGAGTTACAGCAGATAATTTCAAAAATCCTGGCAGTTCAGTTCAGCATGTCAAGCTCAGGAGACTCTCTGAAAGGTTACCCAAGTTTCTCCAGCGTTCGGGCCAGAAAACATTCTGAGTGCCAGAATATGAAAGCTAATAGAGCAACACAAATACTAAGTAAGAAATGGCAAATGGGGTTATAAAATAAAATAATCTCTGTGTATCTGTGTAACAGAGCAAGGTTGGGAGCAGATCTGTATGTGGATATGATTTCCATCCCAGCCTCTCAGTCTTTGTTCTTAATATCCTTTTTGTAGAAGATAATAATTAATCATTGAGTCTTACAAATCTATTTATAGTGTGTTCTGCTTATGTCAGGAATGTTCCAGCATGAAGGACTCCAATTACTTTTGTGTTTTGAACTCCCTAAATTGTGAAATGTCTTCTAAAAAGAAAAATATATAAATATATATGCATATTTTAAAGAACATGAATAATAATAATGACCAAAATTCATCCCTACAGAATTCCCCATGCAATACTCTTAAAGCTCTCTGACTGCTCCTCCCCCTGACCCCTGCCAGGTATTCCTGATGTCTTTTCCTCCCCACTCCAAAGGACCACTACCCTGAATTTCATGTTAATCATTTCTTTGCTTTGTAGCCAAATCTCATACATATACCTCTTGCAACAATACATTGCTTAGTTTAGCCTACAGTGAACTTTATGTACATGGAATGACACTATGTCCATTCTTCTGCAACTTGCTTTTTTAAGTCAATAGTATGTGTTTGAAACTTGTCCTTGTTGCGGTAACCATAGTTGATTTATTTTTCTGCATTGGTTGATTTAGTCTTAGGATTTTTTTCTTTAGCCTATAGATGTGGTGAGTTAATTTACTGGTATTGTTCTATATTATTTCATGTATGAAAAAGATGCCACACGCTGTTTATTAATTATACAGCATTGGGCTGTTTCCTTTTTTCCTTGGTTTCAATTGGGCAGAATGCTATTCTACACATTTTGCAGTCTCCCAAGCACAAGGGCATGCATATTTTTCAGGTGCAATGACTGTGTTGTCGAGTCTGTATGTGCTCAGTTTTGCTAGATTTTGTCAAATTGATTCCTCAGGGGTTGGACCAAGTTACCCTCCAGTCAGAAATGAAGGGGGGTTTCCACCAAACTTTGATGTTATCAGATTTCTAGTATTTTGCCAGTTTGACTATTCACAACGGCATTGGATGGTGGTTCTAGTTTACATTTCTCTGGTTACTAATGAGTCCCTTGAGAGTTGCTGGAGGGACACAAGGAGTGACTGCAGTTGTTGGAATTAGAATCTGTGGGGTGGAAAAGGAGAGGAAGGCGGAGGCAGAGTGGTGGGGTAGGAGAAGACATAGGTCTGGTGTAGACTCTTTCTGCTTTTTTACTCTGTGTTTCTTCCAAGTTCAGCCTCCAAAGAATCATATCAATTCTGACTTGTTGCTCTAGTGAGCTTTATTTTCTAAAAATTTTCTATGAAAATCTCCAAACCTCAGGAGTTGTGATTTTTCTCCAGGATGAAAGGTGAGCCTTGTTACCATGCAGAATGTCCTCCTAACAACCTGGTCCAGTATATGGTAGTGCAAGAGATGCCTAGGGTCTGCGGGTGAGGCTAAGAAACCACCTGGAAGTGGGCGCACATGCCTAGCTGCAGACATGGGGACCGAATGGGATATGTGCTCTGGCACCTGCTTCATGGCCACACCTGCCATCTGGGACTCACTCCCCTCTACTCCCATCGCTCCCTGGATCAGGTGGGCTCCAGAAGGCCCAGCTTGTGGCACCTTATATTATTATAAAGTTACCTTTGCTTAATCTACATTTATGAATGGTACTATTCCAGCTTGATAGACACTGGCGGTGACATTCCTGCCTCCTAGAAGTATTCTGAGAACATCCAATAAGGCATGTGAGCTTCTCTGACCACAGGATAGGTACTCAGTAAAGAGTAGCTCATATAAATCAAGGCCTTGTTTTATTCAACAATTATTTATGACTAATTAACATTCTAAATGCCTGGCATAAGGTGATGAATAAAACAGTCTCTTGTCCCTAGAGCTTACATTCTAGTGAGGCAGATAGCACATACACAACACATGAACAAATAAGACAATGTCAGATCATGATCAGCCAAACAAGAGAACCAAGCCAGGTGGCACAGTGGAATACAGGCAGGGAGGGAAGAAGCCCATGGTGAAAAGGGGAGGGGAGAGAGTGGCTGGGCAGAGGCAAGAATGCCTGTAATGCTCCCTGGGCGTGAGCCTGGGGCATCTGGAGTGAAGGTGAAGCTTGGCGGTCATAGGGAGGAGCAGGGACTTCCTCCCTCCAACCTGGGCAGGAAGAACACTTTTGATGTCTGCCAGGGGGCGACCTTGGCCAACTCAGCACACTCTAGCTCCTGCCTCGCATCTCTGCTTGCATCCTACCAGCGGTACCCCAAACAGCTCTGGGGCCCCTGGAGGGTGATGTGTCCATCACTGTGCTGGTCCTCTGGTTGGCACAGAGGCGAACCACTGCCCAGTGTAAAGGAGGACCACCTCTTGTGTCTGCCTGTGTCAGGGATCTGGGGCCGAGGTCCCCACCCCTGGGCTGGGGTTCACATGAGTCGTGCACAACACTGGGTACACACCTAACGGTGCATCTTACACATGAATGTTGTATGTGCCCCCGTGGAAATAAAATTAAAGACTTGTTTTAAGTTTTTTAATTCTTTGGATCATTTCCCAGCAAGTGTATGATAAGCATTGGAATGTTCTCACTGAATGTGTATTAAATGAGGCCATTTCTTGAATATAAGTTTTTTAAACATGCTGAATTAGAACTTTGGCTATAGCAAAGTACTTTTCCAAAATCATCTCCAACTCTCCATTTTGGCTCCCTTCCAATTTGGAATGGCTTCAGTTAAAGATGTTGTTTGCATTGGTCTTTGTGTTCCCAGTCCCTGGCAAAGGTGCTCATGAACTCAAAATTCACATTTAGAGAGAGAAGAGAGGAGAGAGGGAGAGAGGGAGGGAGAGAGGAGAGGAGGAAGAAGGAGGAAGGGAGAGGGAGCAAGAGCAAGTTGTACTGTGTTCTCTCTCAGAAAGTACCTGGCAAACTGGAAGCAGCTCATGTGCCAATATTTGAAAGCTATAAATAGGGTCCTTTGGGATTCGCTCACATGAATCGATAGGAACACCAAGCTTGGGAGGCTGGTGGGGGAGGGAAGTAGGAACAGTGTGCTCTTCCCAGGGCAAGTGACGCTTCCCTTCCGTGGAGTGGGGAGGGCCCTAGTAAGAATGCGGACAGGAGGGCTCAGGTAAAGGTACTCTGTCAGGTCAGACGTGTCTGTAACTTGGCAGGAAAATGTGTGTGTACAGCTGCATATTGCATTTGGGAAGCAGCTGTTCTCCAAGGTGGAAATGACCAGCCCCCTGCAGCTGTGGCATTCAGGGGAGGACGCTGGGGCAGGGATGGGAGAAGGCTGAGCAGGAGCTGGACTGAGGGACAGAGTTTGGCATCATGGATCTAGGCAACCCTCTTAATTTGATGATGGGGAAACTGAGACTCAGCTCCTTTCCTACCCAGTGGCCAACTTTCACAGGGCAATGGCTGGCTTAAACGCAGCTCACCAGACTCTTATGCCTGGACGTGGAGGGGCAGCGCGTGGCTGCGGAGCCCCCCAGCCCTCCGACCTCCGCCGCAGCACAGGGTGCTGGCTGGCTCCTCTCCAGCTCCTCAGGTGGTAACATGTCCCACTCGGAGCTGTCCCGTGCCTGTCAAATGTGTCAAAGAAAAGCCATGGAGACAAAGGACCTGGACATGCTTCCTTCCATGTGTGAGTGACACATACTGTTCCTAATGTCCCGGGCTGGAGCTGTGTCATTAAAGAGCTCTGAGGACCACATGGCTTTCTTTTCTTGAAGGACTTTCCTGCACATTCCTAAGATGTAAGTGTACATTGCAGGGGTGTTCTAAGAGAGAGCCTGGTCAAAGACTTCACTGTACTCGCGGTGAAAACGTTGGCGACGCCACCATTGACTATGCTACACTATGAACTCTGCATAAGGCCCGGGGCAGAAATCTCTCTGACTCCCTCTGACTTGCTGCGACCCTCCTGAGCAGCCAGCTAACCTTCGAGTTGTGACTCGGCGAGGTGTGCGACTGGGCCTGTGCCCCTC